CTGATGATTATTTTCACTGTTTTTGGCCTAAATGTCAATTCAAGACAATAAATAAAAAGTATTTACCTCGACATCAATTAATTCATTCAGAAATAAAACAATTTAAATGCGATTTTAATAATTGTTGTGAAAGTTATAAATGGAAATCAGAATTAATTAAACATAAAAATAGCATTCATTTAAATGTGAGATTTGTTTGTGATTTCAATGAATGCCACAAAAGTTTTACACGAAAATGGGATTTAAATCAACACAAAAGAAATATTCATTTAATTCATATAAAAAATTATAATGTTTTTCACTGTTTTTGGCCTAAATGTCAATACAAGACAACAACTAAACAACTTTTAACATCACATCAATTAAAACATTCATCAATAAAGCAATTTAAATGTGATTTTAATAATTGTAATAAAAGCTATAAAGAGAAATCACATTTAAGTGAACACAAAAATATCATTCATTTAAATATTAGATTTATTTGTGATTTCAATGAATGCCACAAAAGTTTTATAACAAAACGGAAATTATTTCAACACAAAAGTTGTGTTCATTTGAATGAAAGGAAATTCAAATGTAATGAAGAAAATCGTGGCAAAAGTTTCAAAGAAAAGCAAAGTCTCGCTCAACACAAACACATTCATTCGGGATACACAAAAGTTGTGTTCATTTGAATGAAAGGAAATTCAAATGTAATGAAGAAAATTGTGGCAAAAGTTTCAAAGAAAAGCAAAGTCTCGCTCAACACAAACACATTCATTCGGGAGAAAAACCATTTGTTTGTCAATTACATGACTGTAACAAAAGGTTTTCAGGCAAAGCCAATCTCAAACGTCATTTAAAAAGGCATTTAACATAAATCAACGGTTTGTTACGAAACGTGAATTAAAACATTAATTTAAAACAATTGTCAATTTAACTCATTTATTGCTCAAAATTTATCATTATTATAATTTCAATGACAAAACATGTCTAACTTTAACCTTCAAATACATGTAATTTTTAATAAAATTTTTATAACTATAATTTTATAAATAATAAAATATTTACCACGTTATATCATCGCATTTCGATAGCATGTAATCTCTTAACACACGTTATAGCGAATGTTGGCTGTATTTTAATCATATAATTAATTAATTATAATTAACAATAACTAAATCACATAGTTGTTTGTAATCTCAGTTTATTGCATAATTTATAGCATAATAACCAGTTTAAAAAACATACAAAATACAAATGCATTTTTGGGCCTTTTTATAACAACATATAGCTATTGTTTTTAAAGCATTCATTGCATACCATTAAAAGGTCTAAATCTCCGGTTCGTGGCATCACTTTTAAACACCCATTAAAATAACGTTTTGTTTTGCATTCAAACCACTTTTGGGGGCTTTTATTAATAGACTGTATGTTAGCATTGATTTAACACTAACTCAATGAACGACTGTTTACTTCTGGGGTCTGAAAACGTTGTATGAATTACTTGACGTTATTTATGTGATAAGTGATTGATTGACACAAAAAAAACACGTTTTAAGTTATTTATAAACGCAATCAAACTGTAAACGAAACACACGTTTGAAAATACAGATCTATTTTTAACTGTGATTTAAATCATAAATTAATTTCAATTATGAGTTAATTAACAAATTCATGAAATACTCAATGAATGTCAATCTCAACGTATAGTGCCTTTCATTGACCGCAAACCTCAATGTCTGACCGATTGGTGTCCGCAAAGACATCGGCGACGGTCACCGCCAGAGACGACAGGTTTTATTGATTTGATTTAATGATTATAATTACTAACCAATAGTAAGACTGCGCTCACACGGAGTCCAACACCTCTAACCCCTGTACTGTCCCCTCAGACCTCTGGATCTGATTTGAGTGACAAATGTCTGTGTCTTTGCAGCCAAGCGTTGACTTACGAGTCGATACTCGAGTCGTTTGTCGACCAAAATTCATTCAAATGCCATTACGACGGGTGCGACAAAAGTCTTCCGACTCAGCGGCGATTGGATTTGCATATAAGCCGCAGACACGCCGTACAACACGTGCAACCGATCGGTAACTCCTGCGATAGCCGGCAGACAGCGCCCGATGATAGCCTACAGCGATGGCCAATCGCCGCCACATCACCGCCGCTGTCGACCGCTTCCAGATCTGATGACATGATGTGATGATTACAACTGATTGTTATTTGCCATTAATTTAATGATAAATTGTTATAATTATGTTTGAAGTGTCAACACATCGATACGCGACCCGAGGCTACGGAACCGGTCAACCAATGACATGATTGCGACTATATGTGAGAATATGCTACAAAAGCCGTACGTATTTCCAGTGGTGGCCAACGATATGTATTGTTTATTAACTGATTATTTACTGAAATAATTAATTATAATGTCTGCCATAATTCATAGCCAAACCACTATTACGTCAACAATTAGTGGCACTCCTAGCGGACAGTCATCGGCGGTGACTAAACCGGTGGCAAAAGTGGTCGCCGGCAGTCACTTAGCGGCCAACACATGCCATACGAACACAACGTAAGCAATGAAAACCACTAATTGTCTCATAAGATAATTGCCATTTAATTATACTTAAAATCCAGTCAAACAAATACTCACAAACGTCGCCGACGGCGTCGCACACGCCGTGAAGACCTGAAAGTGCGGTCCAAACACCGCAAACAGGACACCAATGATCATCACGTGCTGCACACCCTGTCCTCCGATGAGTGAGTGATGTTTAAAATGTCGTGAGTTTTAAGCCATTAAATGTATTAAACCCTTCTCTCTTCGCCGCCACCCATAGGGACACCAATAGTGATACCGAAGTTGAGATTATACCCGACGATAGTTCATGCTTTACGTCAACGGTTCCGCCACCGCTTACAACAGCGGACAACCCGTACGTGATTTTAGAGCCCGTTTTGCTGAGCCATAAGTGTTTTGAACGCCAGATATGTTTTTACACCACAAACAGAGAGTCGGACAGCGATATTGAGATCGTGGCGATAGTGGACGCGCCCATCGTTCTGACCACCGGCGGTGCCGAGCATTTAGGGCCGTCATCAACGTCACAGACCGTACCTAATGAGGAGAGACGACTGTCCATCGCGTCTGACACTACACTACACTATAGTAGTCCTACGCGAACACCCGTTCCCTCCGATATGGAATTGGATACCGACGTCGAGGACAGGTGTGACCGCATTGTATGGCCATTATATCACTGAAGACACTAATTATGAATCTGTTGTTGCGTTTAGTGAGTTGTTATACCCGCCCGACGACAACCTGCCGACCGGTCACTACAGCGAACCGCTGCCATATGTCTGGCCGATGCGGTCATCGCCGCCATTAATATGGTCAGCACATCCATCGCCGACGCCGTCGCTACCGCCACTTCCGCCACCATCATCGCCACCCCCACCACCCCCTCCATCATCGCCGCCACAGTCACCGCCACTACTTCCGCCACCACCGCCCCCATCGACAGCTATAGACACAGCCATACGGGCGCTGGCGGTCGCACAGACCGTACCCAATGAAGAGAGACGGCTGTCAGTGGCGTCGGACACCACCAGCCCTACGATAACACCCGTTCCCTCCGACACTGAAATGGATGACGACATCGAAGTCGTCGACGAGTATGTTATTCATCGACCACTGATTCACTGAACGTTGCATTTATTTTACTGTTGTTTAATATAGCGATCTGTTGTACCCGACGGCCGACGAAGACCTGCCTAACGATGAACCCATTGATCCGCTGCTTCCCGACGAAGATTATTACCACCGCTTCGACTCATTGGTGGAACGCGTGGCCGGACTGTTGGGCGCCGACACCACCGCCGCCGCCGACGTAAAGCCAGTGATTGGCGCTGAAGATCATACGTAAGACTTGATTCCAGAACTTATTGTCTTTTTGTGTTATTTACTAATTGTTTGTTTAGTTCATCGACTCATCTAAACAGTGATATAACATGTGATATAAAACTTGATATCAACGCCAATGCCGACAACTCGGCACCCGATGTGACCACTGATACCGTCCATACCGTCAGTTTAGTATCGGGTGATTGTGTGCCACAAACTGACCAAACACTTGAGCTTTACGTTAAGCCTATTATAACAGATCCCGGACTACAGACAGTGTCTGACAAGTCATTGGCCGCCACTTCAAGCGCTCAAACAGAAGGCACGGCTAGTGTTGAACCAGTGATGGCAGACATACCGTCGCTGACCGAGAATGAGACCAACAACACAGCAAACGCATGCATAACACCTACCGGTGCTGTCATTGCAAACATTGATTGCCAGACAATAGCCGCCACTAATCATAAGTATTTGTTTTTAATATTCATTTCATAATAAAAATGTAAATTAATTTTTTATGTTTTCACAGAAATAGTGACACAAATACTGCCAAAGAAATGGCTGTCAATGAAGAGACAGTCGTTGTAAACAGTGGTCAAAAAAGTGGTGGACAATCGACAGCGACGACCGATAAGGAGATCCAGAAGGAAGGGGCGGACAAAATGGATCAATCAGTTTCGGACATTTCCAGTACAGAGATTAACTTCACGGCAATCGCTGACCACAAGTATGTGTCGCCCGAATAGCTATGAATTGATTTTTATGGTATATTTTGTTCATTAATTTGCAGTAAAAGTGGCGAAGAAGTGGCCAAAGAGTCGGTTCCAGCGAGCGTTAGACCAAAGCGCGGCCCGCGTTTACCGCAGTCTCACTACCGGTCGCGCAACACAACACTGCGGGAAGCGCTTGGCCTGAGTCGGGGCGACGAGCACTACATGTCAGACATTAACAGCGATTCCGACGCCGATAGCGATCAGTCAATGACACCGTTTGACGGTTTACTACTAGACGTGTCTCAACGCATGGCATCTAAGGTTACGAGCCCTTCAAAGACAGGCCACCGATCGTCGCCACACCCGTCGGTCACTCGGTCTCGGAGTTTGACGCCACGCGATGGCGCTGTGAGCGGTGGTTATTGCCCGGAAACGCTACCGATGGCCAAGCAGTACATATGTAGAGGTCATGGAAAAACTTTTGCCAACCGGTATGAGTTCAATGAGCACCAGTACATCGTTCACGGCCTGACCCATCCATACCGGTGTGAGTACGACGACGGCCGCGAAACTGAGCGCCGGTGCCGCCGACGCTATGACCGGGCGTTTGATTACGTGCGCCATCAGCGCCACCATCACTCCCTACGCGTGCCCTACGAGTGCGAGTACAGCGGGTGTGACCAGTATTTTGATCACAGGTCGGCCATCAAAGAGCACATCCGTAAAGCACATGGAAAACAGCGGCCGTTTGTCTGCGATCGGGCCGATTGTGGCCAGAGTTTCGGCCGCGAGACACAACTCTACGCCCATAAACGTGACGATCACACCAATCACTTCCGGAGCGGCGATCGCCCGCTCGCCAGCCTTAAAGTAACCGTTTCGTTGGCCTTTTGGTGCGATTACGAGCGATGCGGCCAACGATTTGCCAGTCAGTCGGCCCTCGACGGACACAATGTGGACAAACATTCGGGCGATTATCACAAACGCGATGCCAAAGACTGCGGACAAAGTTTTTTCGCCAAATCGGTGCTAAACTGCAAAAACTTTGGGCAAATTTACTGCCAAAGCCGGCGGTGTCTGTCAACTGCCCGGACAATAGGCCAGCGCTGGACTCGAACCTACCTCTTGGAGACCAATCGGTGCCTAAACTGATCTCAACGATATGTCAATACCAATGCGATTATAATGAGTGCTTCGGAATGTTTGCCACCGAAGAGATACTGCAGAAGCATAAGAAGGCTGTCCATCAAAAGCACGACCAGTTGTTGACATCGGCTCAAGAACTCTCCCCCCTTTCCGTTGATAGCACTACATCTCAAACACTTCCAGCGCTTTCCATTGGTAGGGCTGTGTCTGAAGCACTTCCCGGCATTTCCAGTGATATCTCTGTGCCTAACCCTATGGCCAACACATCCAATAAGTACTCGTTTTACTAGTGATTTGAGTTTCAAAAACTAATTGATTTTTTACTACAAAACAAGTGATACAATCACTGGTGGCGTGCGTTTGTCTGACATACCTGTGCCCACACCGGCCAACGCCGAGACTAATAGCCGACTATGGGATACACTGTTAGGAGTGGTCACTCAACCGCCGGCTATGACAGTAACCCTCACCGACACAGACATCAGTGACGTTATTAGCGAAACGACTCCAGCGCTCGACACCATCGCTTCGTCAGCCAGCGTTAAGTTACCCACCGGTCGGTTAATACCGCCGCCATTGCCGCCGTCCAGCCTGTTGTCCATTGGTCTCAGCGTTCCGGTAGTGCAGCCGATGTCAGTGCTCTCTGACCTGTCGTTATTCTCAAAGGCAGACTCTCATAGGTATTGAATTGTGTGCTGTATATCATAATTGTATTTTAATATTCTCTCTCT